CTCCTCCTGCTTTGTGGAATAATTTGCTATATAAGAGCATTTTCCCATGTTTTATCCCACTTATTAGTCATATGAAATTCAGGTTAAAGAGGGGGAAACTGAGGCTCAGAGATGAAGTGACTCATTCCCCAAGGCCCCATAATCCCACAGAAGCAGGGGTGGGATTTGAGCCCCAGGATCCCAGGAGTGCTCACCTTCACCACCTTCAGCACCCTGACTTCTTCGTCCAGAACCAGCAGATCTCGAAAGCAAAGATTTTGAAAGAATCTCTCGACTCTCTGCCAGGCATCCTGCATTTCTTCCTTCCAGTCCCCCTGGGGCTGAAGACTGTGCTCCAGGAAGGCGTCCAGCCTGTCCCCAGTGGTCTCATACAGGTCCGGTGTGAGGTCCATCTCTGCAGGGCAGGTGATGGAATATCTCCTCTGTCACTGCCCAGCTCTGTAAGGGGCACCTCTCAGCCTTTTCCAGCAGCTAAACAATTGCACAGGAGGAAGAAGACTGAACGGGAGACTGGAGAGGGCTGGACTGATTTCTTCTGGCAGCACATCGCTCCTCCTCCTAAGTATTTTAAACTCTGCAGCCAAGCTTCTCGGCCAGATTGTAAACGAAACAGTGCTTTCAAAAGAATAGAAACTGAAACTGTGGAGATAGAATTTTTTTCCTAAGGCAGTAAGGAACAATGGGTTCAGGAATGGAGCCAAATCTCCACAAGGGCTTTCTGTCTGGGAATTCCCAGAGCGTCCTGGAGCTGCCCCCTCTCCCCATGGGAGCTTGACTACTTGGGGTGAGGGCATGGCAGCTTGGCTGTGCTTAATGAAGGAGTCCTGAGGCAGATAATCACACCTTTTGTTTCTCCTGTTATCCCTTTTCTCTTTCTAGGTGAACCCTCTGATCCCTAAAAGCTATGAGTTGGAAAGAGGTCTTTTAAAAATCTATGTGTGTGGGATGTTAAGTAAAAATTTTGAGACCAAGAGGTCTCTGAAAAAAAGGGTTTTTGGAGCTAGCCAACAGTGAAAGGAGCAAAGGACAGATTTGCTAAGCTATCAGCAGTTTGACCAGATAGTACTTGGAAAAACATCCACTGGACCTAAAATGGACCTGAAATTTTGGAGAGAATAAACAAACCATTTACACGGAACCTCCCTTGCCATGGACCAGAGAAGTGGGGCAGAGTGGAAATGGGCAAAGCCCTGGGGTAGGAGGTGAGTCCATAAAGGCACGTTTTTGTTGCTTCTTGCTTGGTTGGTTAAAGAAGCAGAATGTGTGATGTGGCCTTGGTGGTGATCTTCAACACACATGCGGGAAAGGGAGGTGGAGCCAGTTTGTTTTTGTTTCTGTTTCCTTTCTCTTTGTTGATCTTGTCATGCCTGGCCTAAGTGAACAAACAGGACAAAGCAAACAGGCTGCTTGTGCCAAGAAGTCCAGTAATTGTCTACATACCTGTGCAGACTGTCCTTGGTCACCCGAGTCATAAACATTCCTTATGATTATAGCCCTTCCTGAAAATCTATAGAAATGTAGTCTTCTTTCCCCTTCAGTGGCTAGAATCTGTCCCCGCTTTTAGTCCCTGATTTTAGTCTCTGTTCACTGGAATAAACATTTCTTTTTTTCACAAAAGCCCATCTCCAGCGACTGGTTTCATGTGCACTGTTTATAGCAGATCTGGCTTAAAGCTGTCAGTTAAAATGAATTTCTGTTTTCTCTTTCCTCCCTACATTCTCTGGCCTGTCTGTTTAGCACATCTTAGAATACTTCTCTCATCAGGGGCTTATTTTCTGAAGTCTTCATTTCAAAGAGCAAAGGACAATTTTGAGGAAGACACATTGTCCTTAAAATATTTCAATTAATGCAAATTTTAGAAGTCTAAAACAACCCCTGTGAACCAGAAAAATAAGTGAAGAGAAAGTGAATTCAGGGCTAGTAATTATTTCGAGGAATATGACCTTACATTTACATATAATACATAGATGACATTGTATACGAGTGTTTTAATAGTCATTTTAAAAAGGATATTGAGGAAGTCATAAATAAACACAGGATGCATGTAAAAATGCACAGATGGCACATGAACATGTCACTGAGATCTGTTCAGAATGTCAAATCCAAAAACGTCTGTTTTTTAGGCTGCTGCTCTAAGAGAAGATGCTGGGTCCTGGAAAACTGGCTGAGAAAATTCAGAACTTGCTTGGAGATGAGAAAAACACTGCTATGGGAGATGCTTGTGAAATATTTGAGGAAAAAAGTTTTTTTTTGTTTTGAAAGATAAAAGTGGAAAAGAGAAACACATACCACTCATATAACATTTATAATTATATCATTATATCTAAAGAAGTAAATAAGTAAATATTGTGCCCTTTTGGTTTCCCTGAGGTTTATATAAGCAGGATAATTGCAACATTGATGTATTTTCTCACTGGGAAATATGTTATTAGTCTATTGGAAAATTTACTTAGATTATATCTTTAATGCACTGCATATGGATACACACACACACATATGTCAGTTTCCTTTTTCTTTTTTTCTCTCTTTTGTGACAATTTTCCTTCTTCTTTTGTTGGGTGGTATTTTACACCCACTGAAAACACACCATTTCTACTTCCTAGGATCCTAGCATGAAATAGACAGAGGTGCTCTGGTTAATCCTTGTATCGAGGAGGTGGACTAGAGACTACGGGTTTAGTGGGGCTGTCTGACATTGTGGCAATGATATTAAGTCCAATAACTAGATCATGTCAAGCATACAGTATGCACTGGACTCTTCATGGATGAGCTCCTATAATTCCCACAGGACCCACTGATGTAAGTTCCCACTGCTCTATGTACAGAGAAATCTGGTCTCAGATATGATCTGCCCGTGGTCATGCAGCACAGAAGTGAATGAGGTTTTTTTTTTAGCAAATAAAATACTTTATTGTCAAGGAGTAAATATACATTTAAAAAAGTGCAGATACTCATGAAAATTCCACTCTCTGCTTTTACAAAAGACCTGTACAAATTTCATAAAATGTCTTGTTTACTCTGTATACATACACACATATACATGGACACACACATGCACATATATATAGATTTATTAGTCTATCTATGATAAATAATCAAGAATGTGTTAATGCATTTTTCTATACATGTACACTTTTATGTGTTGAAGTGAATGAGTTTTGATTCACATACATATTCTCTGGTTCCAGAGTCTTGTCCTCGTTCATCTGCTTTGTTACTTCTGCTGTTAGCATTTCCGAGAGTCTGGGTGGGTGGCTTCCAGATTGTTCCACCCCGTTGTCCCCTGAACTTGCCTCTGGTGAGCTGAATGTCTGGGGGTATTGCATCTTGTTTAAGTGTCTTCCAATTTTCTTTTTTTTTTTTAGTTTAATTCCTGAGTTGATGCTTGTAGATTGCTTATGGTGAGTAGCTTTATTCCCAGTATTCAGAACCCTTAGAAAATGCCTACTTCTCAAAGGTATCTTCCGGGTATAGCTGGCTTTTGGTTTTTGAGTCTGTTATAAGATCCAACTTCTTTAATATATTGGAGATGAGAAGTTTCTACCTACTTGGCCCAGCCCCCAGTTCTTTGGCACTGGCCTATGGTATTTTTTAAGACCCTTAGGCAATCTCAGTCTTGGTATATCAGGAAGAACAACTGATTAGCACAATTATGTCACCTTGGGTAAAGTAGTACAATCAGCAATAACAATAGCATCAAACACAGCCTAGAAAATGACAAACTAATTTTGTCACCTTTAACCATATAAACTTATAGTTTTGTGGTTATATAATAAAATTTAGAATGAACTAGAAAATTGTATGCAATAAATAAGCCCCCAATATGGCAATTTTACCCTAAAGGGAGGAGATTTAAAAGGGGTTGGGGGAAAAATAGAGAAATAGAAGCAGAGATTAGAAGCAAGGCTGGAGGACAAAGGAAGATCATATAAAATTTCAGAAACTGGTGAAGAAGAAAGGAGTGAAAGAGAGAAGGAAGAAATAAAAATAAGAATACAATAGAACAACCACCACAACAACAAAAATTAGAAAATTGTGTTCATATTCATGTAAAAACAAGAAAAAACAATCAAGAATAAACAAAACAGGACAAGAACAAAAGCCAGAAGAGAAAAAAGAAAGATGAAAATAAGGAAAAGAAAAGACAAGTCCAATTCAAGATGTGTCTCTGTTGTCACTGGTAGACAGTGTGGGCAGGCAGAGTCCAGATCCGAGTTGTTTCCAGCAAGCCAACTGTAGATTTATGGTGGGGTAGTAGGTAATCCCAGCAAGCCTGGACCTTTAATTCCACTGAAGTTCAGACTGGTTTCTGGCTATGAGACTGGAACCAGATTTGTTGAGCCTGCAACAGTCTGTGTGCCTTCTGAAGTCTTGAACTCCACTCTGATCTCCTGCCGACTTGAACTCAGAACTCTCATTGTGACACCAGGAGCCACTAGATGGAGCCAGCTCATAGTTGTTCTGAGTTCTGAGCTCAGTTGGCTTCTCTCCAAGATGGCTACAAGCCAATCACCCTCTCCTGGGGGAGATCAGAACCTGAATAACTCACCAGCCACTGCAGTCTGCTGTGTCCACTGCTCCGTTCCACTGGTGTGTTTCTCTGTGGAGGTCTCTGGGCTCACCAGTAGTCACCATGCATCTGCAGCTTTGACCCAAACTTCCCATACTGTGAGTCTAGACTCTGGGACAAAGCTCTGCCTGCCACCTCCCTCTTTTTTGTTGAATTCTCTTGCTTTGCTCTCCCAGCGGACTTCAATTCTCACTTCAGATCCTTCCTAGTTCCTGGGGACCCACTTCCCTCCTTCTTCTCCTCCTCACACCACTATATTCCAATGTTAGGACACCAAATTTCAGAGAGGCTCTTTCTCTGATGCTCCCCATTCTGCCATCTTCCTGGAAGTCATGTTCTCTCATTCCAAATGCCAGAAGGTCAGCTGCTATACTGTCCCACTGCCTTTGGCAACTTGTATTTATTGAGATCTTCCTATGTGCTGGGTACTGGGTAAGGCTTGGAGAAAATAGATATAAGATTCACTTCAAGGGGAGACTCATCTGGTCCCAGAGCCTAGTATAGAGCTTGGCACATAGTGGGTTCTTAATGTTGCCTGAATCAATGAATAGACTGCACCAGATTACAGAAGAATGAGCACTTTGATATTCGGATGACTTTTCAGTCCAAGAAAGGGACAGATGGTGGATGACAGAGGATTTCTTGGTGACTTTCCACTTGTCCCATCACAGTATCCATTGAGGGTCTGCATCTCTGGATAAAATGAACTCTGGATGGTAATTTAAGATGATCTTTTCAGAGGTAATTTCTTCTCTATTTACTCCAGTGTTTAACTTCTTTGGAATCTTGCACACTGTACAGAATATGATTAATGCTATGGGAAACATGTTTATGTCTATATTTTACACACAATTTCTGGGGTTCTCTGGACCCCAAGTTAAGAATTGGTGATGTGGAAGGTACTTGAGGACCAGAAGACGTCATACATCAATCATATCTCAAATGTGGAATTTAGTTGTTGAACCAACATGTTTTAAAGGAATTTCTATGTGCCTTGCATAATGCTGAGATCTAGGAATATTGCAGGAAACAACTATGGCATGCAGATTAATCAGGAAGGATCTCTAAGGAGTTGAAACACCTAGCTAATGGTTTCTCAATTCTTGGGCCACATTTGGGACTGGGATTGAGGTGATTTTCACCTCCACATGTGTCTGAAACTTTCTTCCTTTTAGATCCTATTTTAGACTAATGTGTTAGTCAGCTTTCCATTACAATAGTAAAATACCTGAGGCAATTAATTTATAAAGATAAAAGGTTTATTTGACTCATGGTTTTGGAGGTTCTGGTCCAAGGTTTAGGTTTCTGACATTGTGAGGTCTTGCACCATGAAGAACCAGCCACACCTTGAGGTCTTGGTTTTTTGTTGCTGTAATGAAAGATTTTAGACTAGACACATAGGCCATGCTATATAGTATGGGTGGAATTTATTGCAAAATAATAGATTTTCAGAGAGACAGAAAGAGAGAGAGAGCAAGAGCGAGAGCGAGAGAGAGCCTTCAAATGCACAAATGACATAAAAAAACCCTGTGCATAGAAGTAATGCCAGAACACTTCCCAAACATGGAAAAATAATTTGACATAGAGATAAATGAGGCATATAAAACTCCAATTAGCCATGATGAAAAAAAATCTTCACCAAGGCATATAATAGTCATATAATAGTCAAGATTCCAGAAATTTAACACAAGAACAGAATATTAAAAGCTGTTAGAGAAAGGAAACAAATCACCTATAAAAGAAAGCCCATCAGAATCACAGCAGACTTCTTAACATAAACCTTCAAGTCAAGAAGAGCTTGGAATAAAGTATTTCAAGCTCTAAAAGAAAACAATCTCCAACCCAAATTGTTGTACCCTACAAAACTGTCTTTCAAAATTGGTGGAGAAATAAGATAATTCCATGACAAAGAACACCTGAAGAAATTCATGACCATCAACCTAGCACTCCAAAATGTTCTAAAGGACATTCTAGAAAGAGATAATGAGGACGACAACTCCATGAACCCTAACAGAATGAATCCACCAGGAAAGGCAAGTAATTAAACAGAGGGGAAAAATTGGAAAAAAAAAAAAAAGAAACTAAACAACAGAAAAATAACATGACAAGGATAAGTCGATACATATCAGTTATAACCATCAACATAAATGGTTTCAATTCACCAATCAAAAGAAACAGACTGGCAGAATGGATCAAGAAGTATGATCCAACAATATGTTGTATACAAGAAACACATTTAATTCAAAAAGAAATTCTTATATTTGAATTCGTATTCAAAGGATGGAAAACTACTCCATGCAACAGGAACCAGGAAAAAAGCAGGAATAGCTCTTTTATTGACAGACAAATTGGATTTCACACTTGATGTTAGCGAAAAGGCCAAGAAGCGATGACAAATTGGATTTCAAGCCAAGATTGTTCAAAAGAGTCAAAGAAGGTCACTAAATGGTAAATGGAACGCTTCCAAGAGGAAGAGACAACAATAATAAATACATATGCATCAGATACTGGTGCACCCAACTATATAAGACAAATAATAATGGACATGAAAAATTTAGTAAACACTAACACAATTGTAATGGGGGACCTTGTTGGGAGCATTTCTATATAAATTTTGGGGAAAAATCATTTCATAATTAGACTATGACTATATCTGTCTAAGGTCCAATATTACCTTGCCCAAGAGCTAGCTATGGCATGGGGAAACATAACTCTGTTTTACCTCCAGTCACAGTAGAGGCCTCAATTGCCCATGAAGC